GACAATTCTTTCAGCTTTAAAATTTCAAAAACCTAAGGAAGGTAATAGCAAGTCAACTCTATCACATGCTGACCATGTCTGGAACTGTTCCTTAAATCAAGTTGTGAGTTGATCAATCCATACCAACCCATTATTCTGATTTTGAAAGCTCAGGACTGGGTTACTGACCAGGCTTACGGACCTGTGGAACTTCTCCAAACTTTGTAAAGAATACCTAATAACATACCAAAATAAACTTACCTGGAGGCAAAGACTGCTTCAGTTTGTCGGCTTTTTCTTTGTCCTGGATGACAAGGGTGTAAAGGTAACGACTGCATCGCACCTTGAACTTCACGGTGTCTTTGATCTTCTTTATCTTAACAGCTATAACAAATAGTAAGGTTGCAATTTGTTATCGCAGTGATTTTGATCTAATGTAATTAAAGTCAGCGAAATAATACAGCAAATTAAACATGACCCATAACATTTTGCTATCAATAACACTGGATATACAGTAACACATTAAGTGACACAATGGGACCTAGTCTGAATTCTGTACCATTAAATTTGGAAAATTTCTTTAGCTGGAATGGAATAAAGAAAAACCTTAACCAAAAAAAGTTTTGAAGTGTAGCTAGTTGTGTCTTTTACTGGAAGATTTCATGGTTGCAGCCGACATATTTGGAGTGTAGAGACAAACATGCAAACACCTGTTCAGTGCTTGAATAGAACACAACCCTGAAAACTTCTATGTTTCCAAGTAACATACAAACAGACCCAAACAAATTTCCCTGTGTCTATATACGTGTCCAGCAGCCAGACAGCATTTTGAAAATACTTGGTGTCTGGCAGTCTGAAACTTTATTTTCCTTTTACCTCAATTATTGAGGACTAAGCACACATTCTAAGCTAACCTGTCTACATTTAAGGGTAACCACAGTGCTTTAAGGGCTAACTGGACAAGGATTATTACACTTCATCTAAAGAATACTCTGTGTCCAGCTGGCCTGAAAAAACACCTTGTTTAGCCCAAAAATTGCTATGGTTAGCCTAGCCTGCTGCATGAATTGCGCACCAGTTAGTCTGTTTATTGTCAGCTCTCAACAATTGTATTGGTAAAGAAATAAATATTTAGTTGTAAATGGACAATTTTCTGACTGACAGACAGGGAGCATTTTCAAAATGCTGAATGCTGTCCGGCTGCCGGACATCTAGACACAGTGAACAAAGTTTGCAATTTTGATATCCATGACCAGATAAAAGTTAAGTCTCCAAACACTTTGGCTTGTAGCTAACTTTCACAGCTTTGTATATATATCTAGAGCGAGCAATATGCTGCAAATCATTTAAAATACTAGACTAAAAACAGCAGCCCTTTCTTATTAGTACGTGAGCAAGAAGATCGTCACTTACATTTGGCATCCTTCCTTCGAGCGGTAAGGAGAAAATCTTTGATTTCGTGAATCTGCTTAGGCTGCAACAAGATAAAACGTGGATTGATTTCAAAAAATTGTTTGATCTTCAATAACTACTCGAGTGAGGCTCGATCCATCGAGTTTCTAAGCTAAATTTGAACCAAGAAAGGTTAAAGACAAAACATTTAAACTTTAAACACAACAGCTTACCATTGTGGAATGAATGTGATGGAAAGATCAGAGGTACCTAGGGCATGACAGAAAGACTTCGTTACTAAATTTACTAACGACTTTAAAAAAAAAAGATTTTCAAACATAACTCACTGAAAGTATATAATATCGTTCATATGTGACAATTAATTAAAGAAAATTGTGAAGGATGCCTGAGATATACAAGGATTTTCTTTCGTAGTTCAACATACCTTCCACACAATTCAAGATGGAGTCCAAAAGGACGATTCATGGGCATGCGCCTGCTTTTCAATGCGCAGCGGCTTACCCCATGGACCAAAATGGCGGACGGTTATCGTGGAAGTAAGTATCAAATTCTGATATTTTATCAGATTTTCTTGGCTTCAAAGGCGTAAATGCTTGCTTTGTGTAAATTTATGTAGATGTGGGTAAAAGGAGACCCCCTCAGAAAGGGCAAAAACGTCGAAATGACATTTACGTGAATAGGAAGACTGACTTTGCGGCTCAACTTGAACGATGCCAGAAGTTACTTGATTCAAGGTTTGTGATTTTTAGCCAATATTAAGCTGGTTTCCAGACAACTCAAGG